TGAAACTATGAAATCATAATGATGGGAATCTGAAAGACTTCGTCTAGGAGATGCCTGAAGAATTCAAACGGAATGTAACAAACTGAGTAGAACTCATATGGCTCTGATCATCCAGGAAACATAAGACTTGTCAAGTCTGCTTCACAAATAAACCCAGCACTCCAGATGTATTTCAGACAGAAATAGGGGAGGAGGGGGTAGCGCAGGTGGTGGTCAAGTATGATGTAACTAGAAGAGCTAAGGAGTCTGCAATGCCAGGGGCAGTTGAAGGTATTGATTTAATGCAAACATTCTCTTCCCAATAGATTGGGTCTACCCTTAAAATGATTAGTGAAGGCAGGCTCAGTTGCTACCACAAAATACCTCGTACAGGAGAAAAACAGAAACAGCCTCTTAACAAACTTCCCCAAGGGTAACCCCAGAATCAGCAACAGACCAGTGAGCATGTTTTAAGCCAACAAGAGCAAAGACCAGATCAAGGCTTAGATTTTTCATGAATCTCAGGATAGAAGCAACTCCAAACAAGGCAAAGTGGGAAGAATACAGAATAGTTTGGAAACCAGGAAAGTGTTTTGGGGGTCCAGAACATAATGCTTGTGGTAGCAGAGGCCAAAAGCCAGGTGGGAAGACAGAGCTGTCTGGAGGAGTATGATGTCTGAGAGCCAGAGAGGAGCCCCATACCATGCCATGGGGACACTCTTGGAAGGGCAGAGAAGTAAGGATTCTTTTGAATTTGTATGAGAACTACTATAATTGCAAGTTCACAAGGTGATGAGAAAGAGAACCAATGAAAGGAATATGGATAAAAATATGAATTTTAATAGCAGCAATCAGAACTGTCAAGAGTTAGTTTTCATATAGTGCAGACACAAGCAAACTTCTCTAAAGGACCAGATAATAAATATTTTAGGCTTTGCAGGCCATATGGTCTAGCGGCAATTACTCAACTTTGACACTGTAAGACAAAAGCTAGGATAAGCAAATATGTGTGGCTGCATTCTCAATAAACTTTGTTTTACGTTCTCATAAAGCATTTTAATTTCAAATAATTTGCACATGTCATGAAATATTATTCTTTGTTAGTTTTCCCCAACCATTTAAAAATGTAAAATTCTCTCTGAACTCAAGATTGTTTAAAAGGAGTTAGCACGTTGAATTTGGTTGGCTGGGTAGCCAGCCAATCTAATCCCTAGGTCATGAATAGGGCAAAGATCCTGACCCAATTTTACATGTAATATCAATCAAAACATCCCCCTGCTCTGCAGTTTCCCTTTGATTTCCATTCTGCACACTTGTGTCTCTTTGTTCTGCTCCTTTTTTTTTTTTTAAAGTTTATTTTTTTTAAAGATTTATTTATTTATGTAAGCAATGGGTACAGTCAGAAACACAGGAGGGTGAGAGAATTTACCAGAGCCAGAGAGGGGAGCAGAACAGGCAGAGTGACGAAATACACTGCTGAGGGGAGCAGCAGGCGTGGCAGGAGAGGTCTGCACGCCATGTGGGACCCTTGCCAGCGGCTGATGATTGAACTGGCACTGCAGAGGCTGCAGGCAGCTTCGCAGCCCAGTGCTCAACCACTGAGCCACCGGGGAGGCCCTGTTCAGCTCCTTTTAAACAAGCCCCGGATTAAACTCTCTTAGCTCGCTTGGGTTACAGTTTAAGTAGCATTTGTGAAATGCTTAGGTGAATTTTCAAATTAATTATGATGCATAAATAAATGTTAAGACTTAGCAAAGATAATGGGAACAAATGATAATTACTATTGTTATAACAATGGTCATAAACAACGATTACATCATTTGCTTTTTGAGCCTGTGTTGAATACTGAAAAAACAACTTTGTCTTCGAAGATTGCTCTGGACTGGGCTCTCAACTCTCCTCCCTGCCTTCTTGTTTGTCTTGCCACTGCCTTGGAGAATATGCATGATTGATACAGAACTTTTCATAAAGGAGAGTGCACATGATGTTTGTGTGTTTACAAAGCACCTGCGATGTTTGATTGCTAAACTTCATATTCTGATCCTATTTTACAGATGAGGTAGCAGGAGTTCTGAGAGGTTAATTGGTTTGCTGAGGGTCACCCACTTAGTAATTGGCAGAGCAAAGAGTCAAACCAAATGTCCTGACAAAAGTGTTCTTCACTTTCCACTACAGTAAGTCCTCCCTTAATGTCACCAATACCTCCTTGGAAACTGACTTTAAGCAAAACGACCTATAATGAAAGCAGATCTTCAAGCAACATTGTTTTGTTCAACGTCTGCAGATTTCTTTTTTTTTCCCTGATCATGATTGCAATGAAACGATGTTGAAGCAAAAAGCATTATTCCAGGACCCTGCTCCTTTTCTCTCACTGGTGGAAGACAAGAATAGAAAGAAAAAAAAAACTGAAAAGGAGGTGTGCCACAAGACCAGAAGCATGGCTCACAAGGAGGTGGGGGTAGAAGAGATTAGCATAGCCATTGACACAGCTATGGAAACCAAGATCCTTAGGGGCAGACTAGTATCCTTAGGCCCAGAGGCCTAGGTTACAAAGCATAACATCCAAGCAGGTATCCCAGGGCACATCCAAAGGTAAAGATGTGGAAATTGAGCCCATTGTAGAATCTCTGGTCCCTTTCAAATTCTACATCATCATCCATAATTAGCAACCAGCTGATGACTCACAAGGAGTGACCCCTCTCAAACAAAAGAAGACTATATCAGTTCAGCGACTGCACAGGTTTGGGGCAGCACTCCCACTGCCCACCTGTGACTATGCAGGTGCCACTTTTCACCAAATCACTCTTCTGCAGGGCAGCAGCCTTCCTGCCTGTCCGTGACCTGTCCCATGCTGGGACTTCTCTTCACTGACCTCCCTCAGTGGAGGCAGCTCTCCTTAAGGCCGACCACCTGCAACCATGCAGGCCTCTCAGCAAATCTGTCCCTTCTGGGGCAGCTCTTTCTGCTCACTTGTGTCTATGTAAGTGTCTTTAACTGTTTTATCCCTTCCCTAATAAACCTGCCCTTTAAAAAAAAAAAAAAAAAGATTTATCCATTCATGCATACAAGAACTGGGGCACAGGCCAGAGGTGGGGGGGGGGGAGGCGGGGTGAGAGGATTCACCAGAGACAGAGCAGGGAGCAGAACAGGCAGATGGACTGAAAACACTGCTGAGGGGAGCAGGTGGCGAGACAGGAGAGGTCTGCCGCACCTAAACCTGCCCTTTAAATATAACTAACGTCTCTGTCTCATAGAGAAACTCGCCTGGGAAACTCACTGCATGTCGCTAAAACAGGAGCTCTGGTGAAATCATTCCCAGGATCAACCCAAGGACCCCGCATTCCAAACCTACTCACTCCAAAAATCACAACATCACCATGTGTGATCCTGGGGTGTCAGGAGGACATCCTGTGTTCAGAGTACTCCTTTCCCAAGTGTGGAGCCTAGACAAACAAGCCTGGTGAGTGAAAGCAGGAATCTGACCAAAGGCCTGGGACCCAAACCTGTTCCACTAATGAACCTCAGTCTAAATCTCATCAATGAATACTGGATGATCAGTTGCTAGTTTGCCCATATACTTTTTACTTTGTTTTCTGCTTTTATTTTCCCGGAATGTTTCCCAACATGGTGTATATCATCAAATGGTGAAACAACTCACATTCACCCCTCACAGCTCTTGGCAAGCACCTCCCTTTCTTTATTCACACAGCGGGAAGTTTATGGCCTATATGAATTGTGATAGCTCTGAAGGGCTGGCTTCTCAGCACTCTCCAGCTGTAGAACTCTCCCAGGCGAGACAGGGGGAGAGTGACAACAACTCAACATGAAGTTTTTAATTCCCTTTTGTATCTAACTTGTATCTCGGAAGAGACACCGCTGTGACCCTCCTGGCTGTCTCTCACTCTGCCTTCAACTTGCTCAGCAGCACCTCGCTCAGGGAGGGCGGCAGACGGGCCTCTCCCATTAGGCTGCCCGATCGATTAACTGGGAGAGAAGAGAGCTTTCATTGTGAAAGGCACAGAGAAACATCCAAACATCCTCGAAGCTGGTGGTTAAGTGTCACATGCAGACAGAGACAAAGCCTCTTGATAATATCAAGCTGTGTGGCCAGCACCAACCCTATTTCTAAGCCTCATTATTTTTGGATGTGGGGATGATGGGGGTCTCAGAATCCCACAGACTGTATCCCAGCTTGGAGCCACATGAACTTAATTTAATGTGCCTAGAATATTGCTTACCACAGATGTGACAAGAACACACCGGGTTCGAGACTGGACTGTTGCACGCCAGATCAGTGTCTTTATAGAACAGAATAATAATTTCCTATTTGTGTTTTGTTTATGAGAATCCAGCACAAAGAGTTACTTTTTGTAAAATTTCAGTCACTTTCTGCTATTTTAATTAAACTTGTGTTTTTACCTAGATCAGATACTTCTAAGTGTGAACTTATTTTCTTTAGCTGAAATAAAGGATGGTGAGGAACCAATTAGTAGTCAGGTACTCACTATCTCCATTCAAAGGACACTCATTAGGAGCCCCTGAGGTTTACTGGGAATCTTAGAAGAGGCTGGTGGTTTCACTTAATGGGAAAATGAGGCTCTCAGAAAGGCTGTCGAAAAGAAATGTTAACTCTTATACCAGGACGTCATTTAAAAATAGCATAGACCAAACTCTGTACCAGGTGAAATGGGATTCTTGAGAAAATGCATTGAAGTTGGGCACCTACAACCCAGTACACTCACACAATCCATTCATCTTTAAAAACAATGGAAGACGCTATTGTCAAGAACATGAAAATGATGCATGCCAGGATTCGCTGTACCATCTTTGATGCTACCACTCCACGATGAACATTTATTGGCATTTATTTTGTACAGATACAGGGTATGAAGTTATATGTGCCATCTCATGTAACCTTTACAATAGTTATGTAACCTTTACAATAGTCAGGAACATGTGTCTTATTATGACTCTTACTTAACAATGAGGTAACTAAGCAATGTAGTTAAGGGGCTACTGCTTAAAAAATGGCATGCCCAGAACTCTGGTTAAGTGCAAGTCCAGTTGCTGGAGCTCAGTCAAAGCCCATGAAGACAGCATGTCAGTAGCTGCACACAGACCCCAAAGGTGAGGTTCAATTCCCAGTTCTTCCTGTTACTAGCTACTTGGCCTTTGGCAAGTTATTTAACAGAAATGTTAAATAACTGTTAAATAACTCATTTCTGTTAAATAACTCAGTTCCTTCATTTGTTAAATACAGTAACAGTATCTAAACTCATAAGTTGTTTCCAAAGATGAAGTGAGTTGTTACAGGGAAAGTGCAAGCACATAATAAGAAAACATAATAAGATTTTGCTACTATTGTTTTTATCACCCTTATTTTCTTTCCTGGCTCAGCACACTTCCCTCCAATCCCTTTGTGTTTGAGTGGATGGTCTTTTAATTTTCAGGTCTGAGCTTCTTTAGCCTTAAGAGATGTACTTCAGTTTCTAAGTAACTTATTTGTGTACGATTGTCATTTTCTAAAAACCAGGACTGCATTGGAGCAGTAGCAAACCTTTGCTGGGATCCTTTTCAACAGGTTAAATGACTTGGTCAAGGTAGTGTGGACTCAATCACAGGCACTGGAATAGAATGAGGGCTGCATCTCTCCTGCCTAGACTGTGATAGATGGAAGTTGCTACTGTAATAGTGGGGTTATTAGCCACAGAATAAGGAGAACAGAAGTGGACAGATGGCTACTTGATTGACGTGCCAAGATCTGCACTCATTCTTTTTATCACCAGTAGTATTGGCTGCTGGCAACAATTTATCTTTCATGTCTGGCCATGAGCTGGAGTTTGGACTGTAAAATAGATGATGATGCAATAGGGCGTAACAAAACACTAGAATCAAGAGAACATTGTGTATTTAGGCCTATTCTGACACACAGTTTAGCAGTTTGGGATGCTCCAAACTTTCTTACCTGTAAAATCAGGTTAATAACAATCCTAACTTCGTAGGTCTTTTAGAGAATTGTAGGAAAATATTTTAAAACTTAAAAGTGAACTATGAATTTCGCAAAAAAAGATGACGTGTGTTAGCAACTTCTTTAGAAGCTGGACTCATTCATCTTGAATTTTGCTTTTAATAATAAAAGAGGAAAAAAGTAAGCAGGGGAGCTCTGGGTTCAGAATGGAGCCCCTGAAACCATATTGCCTGGTTAACACCACTACCTGAATACTAAAATGTGTCTGAGCAAGTTACCTAAGTGAGCTCTTGGTGTTTCAGTCCTTTTCTACAACAGTACATAATATCACCTATGTTTCAAGGTTGTCGGAAATATTAAGAGTTCATAAATGTAAAATACGTATAATAGTGCCAACCTAGAGTAAAAATATTAGCTACTCTGATGATGATGACAAAGAAGTGAGGAGGAGAGGGGCATGATGATGATGATGATGAAGATCCTGGTCCCCCTTTGGGTCTTTTATGGATAGAATCAAACCTTTTCAAACTGCTGGTATTTCTCTAATTACTGCCACTTACATTGTCAGGCACAGAACCTCTACCTCCCAGGCTAAGAATTCAGGCTTGCAAGAGATCCTAGGGTTCCTTTTAGCTATCCACATGATGACAATGAAGTAGTGCTCTCATCAAGAGGTCCTTATAACCATGACAACATGAGCAGCACCACTCTACGGAGGATGTCATTGCCATGACAACACCTGAATGACCAAAATCAAGAGACCTAGGTAAGTGCTGTGATAAAGAGAGAAAACATCAACACACAGAGGAATGTGACCCCTCAAGAGCGGAGTAGGAGAGCAAGGACTAATCAGTGTGGATGCTTGGCAACAAAGCTAAAGAAAGCAAAATGAAGTTGAAAAATTGTTGTGATTGTACTCACTAAGTGATCCAGAATTCGCAAGAGCTATGGGTTCTGGCAGAGAGGGATGGAACCAAACCCTCCCCAGTCCTTCCATCTTACACGATGGGCCAATGAATCCCTCTCAAAGAAAGGGAGTATCTCTGGGGTAATGGCACCAAGGAGAATGGCTTTGTTACAATTGTGAGGAGAAACATTTTGGGATGGATAGTTAGGAACTCATCTGCAAGCCAGGACTAGGTAGAGATGTCACAGCACTCACAGCAGATATTTTCTTCCAGGCTGGCGAGTTCTCCCTGTCTTTAATAATAGTCTAGACTAAACACAGAGATTTGTTTGCTTCCTCTATTCTGACTGACACCTCGAGTGTGGAATACTGAGACAGGAGTGTTTGCTGAATTTCCAGGAAATAGTTCTACACCCAGTTCAAGTATATGCCCCAGACAACTACCCCCTTTCCATGCCCTTAGAGCTTCTTCTGAGCATAGAAAGACTTCACTTGGATGATCATCTGTGGCCAGAAGAGGTGGTGTTCAAGACTAATTTTGTTTCCTGGTTTTGTCTTGAGGGAAAAATGAATTGAGATATTCCTGCTTAACTTAAATTATCTGGTCATGGAGGGTCAAATATCAAGGACTTTTTTAAATTTAATTTATTTATTTTTGCATACAAGAGCTGGGATGTTGCCCAGAGGTGCGGGTGGTAGGGGCGTGGGGAGAGGATTCACCAGAGACAGAGTGGGGAGCAGAACAGGCAGATCTACTGAAATACACTGCTGAGGGAGGCAGGGGGCGAAGCAGGAGAGGTCTACTGTGCTATGTGGAATGCCACTCCCTGGCAGGGGATTGAAATTGTGCAGCAGTGTCTGTTGATAGCTTAGTGCTGAGACTTAACCCTTTGTACCACAAGGGAGGCCCTCAAATATCAAGGACTTTGAGACCATCTGTCCTCACCCTTAGGGATGGGATGGAAGATGAAATGACCATACTACTTCCTCTACAGCCATTCACAAGCAGTTTCATAGGCAAAGCTGTGTTTTCCATAAGTGCTTTACTGTCAAGGCCCAGTGGCCTCCTTACCAGACTTGGCAGCAGTCTTACCTCTGGATGATATTCCTGTGGTAGAGACAGTCAGTTGCTTTCGTAGCATGGCAAATTTGGCTTCTGATTTCCAGAGCACTCAAAAGTCACATAAATAAATTTGGGCTCACTTGGCTGACAAGCAAATTTTATAGATTGCTCAAAAGTAGAGACCAATCTTGATGAATTCCTTTTATTTCCTTTGAGGAAGAGAAACACCTGAGAACCCTAAGACAAGTAATGACACAGCAGTAATAGGCAAGGAAGTCTGGGCACAGATTGGACTCCAGGAAAAGACCTCACACCCCCGCTAATGGCTAATACCATATTGTTACACTTTATAGCAAAACTTCTCAAAAACAGTATATTCCTCCTTCCATTACTTCCATCCACTTTCTCCCTTTCCAATGAATCTTTTATCTACTATCTTTCACCAGAACTATTCTCACCAACATCTGCAAGTACATCTTGCCGCTCTACAGCCCTCATCTTGCTTGACTTCTAAGCAAGGCTTGTGCTATTAGCTCCTCCCTCCTTTTATGAAGTAGTCTTTTTGCACTTGGCTTTCAAAATTCCCCTCCAAGTTCTCTGGCCACTTCCTCACAATCACCTGTGCTAAACCATTTCGTCTTGACAGCTAAATATGGAAATGCCCAGACGCCTGGTTCATAGAACACTGCTATCTATTTTAAATAGATAATATCTAAGGTGGTAATAGGCCTACATTTATTTTCTAAGTGCCTTGCATAGCCAGCTATCTACTCAACATTTCCACTTATACATCGAAGGTCTGAGCTCCTTTATTCTATGTGGAAGCCCACTGCTCTTGGAGCTCTTGATAGCAGACATGACATCACTAGTGGCAAGTGGGCACAGGTCACACCTTGCAGCATCACCCTTGATTCCTAACTCTTTCCTACAAACACCATACAATAAATCAGCAACTTTGTCATCTTTGCTTTTAAATATATTCCAGATTAAACGGTCTCACTATCATTCACCCTACCACTATACTCCACGTCATCATTATTTCTCAATTGGCGAAAACAGCGGGATCATCACTGGCATCCCAGTGGTGACCCTCACACTATCCTCGGTCCCTGTCTTTATCTTCAAATAGTTAAAATAACTCTTTGGAAAACATTTATGAAGTCATTTCACTCTCCTATTTAAAGCATGCTAGTGTTTTTTATTAGTAAAATTCCAGTTTTTAACATGCCTTGCAGGCACAGCATGATCTGTCTCTGGCTCTTTTTACAACATCTTACATCATTCCTCTCTGCATCAACATTAGTGCTGTTCCTCATATGGCCCACACATGTCCTGACTCATGGCCTTGGTGCTCGTAAGTGCCTCTGCCTAGAGCACCCTCTCTTGACATGTGCACTTACTGTGTCACTTCACTCAGGTCTCCCAGGATTTGCTCAGGCTTTCGATCAACTCTCTAAAGAAGCCTCACCAATCATTCTTTACCCCAACTCTGTTTATTTTCCTCCATTGCACTATCTCTCCCTGACATTAGATTGCATATTTATTTATTGAATATTGCCTATATTCCCACACTACAGCCCCATGGGGCAAAGACTTTGAAGGCTGTATTCACGGCACAATATGAAGCACTCTATATGCACTGTTGTGTTTTAGGTACTCAAGAAATAGCTGTTGAATAAAAGATGATTCATTCTGTCTATTTATCATATCTCTGCTGTACTCTATCATTTCTGTCCAATCTAATAAATCCTGATTTTCTAAAAAAAAAAATAAATAAGTCTGGGTTGTTATGATCATTTTTGGAGAAAAGGGAGCTAACCCACGTGGATCAATAAACAGAAATAAATCAACAGCAACTAGTTCCTAAAATCCTACCTATTGCCACAGGAGAGAGATGTCAAGTGAATAATATCTAGCCACACCCTCACCCCACCGCAAACAGGAAATACAATAGGCCAACCAGAAATCTAGGGGTCCTACTCATTTTATTCGCCACCTTCACACTATTCCCCCGTACAAATTATCACTCAATTCTGGAAATTTGATCTCCTTCATAGCTCTAGTTATGTCTAAACATCCTTAAACTACTTTATTCTGCAATACTGATCACGATCTCTGACCTTGACCTTGCAATGGCTTCATAAAGATCAGTCTCTGCTACCCACTGCCACCTCCCCACCTTCAAGCTC